TTAAATACGCATTCACACTATTTGTCTTCGACGGCGATCCTGAGACACCAAACACTCTATACTATTTAAAGTTTTTTCCAAGAAACATTTTTTCCCGAAAACTATTTTGCGCCCGATGTTGAATAATTGCATCTGCTGCTAAATTATTTCAAAGATTAAATCATTGGAAGCGACACATTTTTTTTATCAACACCGTATTTAATTGAATTTGAGAGGGATTTCTTTCTCTCCAGGGTGACTGTTTCCCCTGTATTTCAGCACCCATGGCTAGTTTATATTCTTATTATTTTCCTAGTTTGTTCTTTTAGCGATGGCCGTTAGAGGATGAAAATTTTTTCCAGTTTTCAAAACGTCTATTTCCGTCAAATCTTGGGCTTCCTTTCCCGACAGATCTACGAAAATATCCGCTTGACCTCTCTCATAACCCGCTGTGCGTATATTTATTGATACTTGCCTACTTTTGAACTTGACCGCTAGCTCAATTAATTGTTGTAGCGTACTCGAGGTTTGTAATTCAACAACATTCTGAATTTGAGGAAATAACTTAGACAATATTATTTGGATAACCTCTGCATCTTGCCTTTTTCTCATGCTATAAGTTTATTACTTGTATCTCATGCTATAAGTCTATTACTTGTATTTATTACTTGTATACTTGCTATAAGTTTATTATCATGCTATAAGTTTATTACTTGTATTATTGTATTTGTTTATTACTTGTATACTCTTTTCTCAATATAATTTCAGTGAACTCTTCAGTCTTAATTTGATATCTACCAAACACGTCCGCTTCTAATTTGGCAGTCTTTTACCACTGGGATTACTTTCACAGGCACCCAGGTGGTATAGCGGTTAGGAGAGCCTACTGCGGTAACAAAGGGCCCGGGTTCCAATTCCGGAAAAGGCACAGATGTTTGTAAATGTATACTGCCTTTGTGGAATGGAGCACTCTAAATATACGGCGATCCGAAAGTCCTCTCGTGTGGTTTGCTGATAGGGAAGAGGGGTGGGACACCATTGGACCACTCCCTCGGAGTGCTCTTCCTCAAAACTCTGAAGTAAAAGTCCAACTTCCTTGAGCTCTGGCAACCATTTTTCCATGAAATACATGGGCAAGACAAAAACAACAATAACATTACTTTCACAAGGACGGTTTTACATACTTCGAACTTAAAATTCTTACTGCTGGTTCACCAACAAAAATTTACCGATGCCTTTTGTACCAGCTCAGAGCCTGTCCTCGAAGCGCGGCGGTTGCTATCGTGACTTTCTATAATAATCCAGCCGGGAAAAACTGCGTCTCTAAGTTGTTGCAAAAATGTCACTGCTGAATTTCTACCATCCAATATAACAGCAGGTTTGATTGAAGCTTGCATAGTGTCTAGGATGAACCCGAAGCCTTTCACTGGACTTCCTAATACCGCTGAAGCCTATAATCTTGGGTGGAGGAGAGCAAACTAAATATTGCTTTGTGACACTATCAGTAATTTGTTCTTTCCCCACTTATAGGGTTAAACTTGATCTAGTAATGCTATTTCAGTTTAATAACTCTAACAGACATGAAGCGTATTATCTCTATGTCTGAGAACAACAACAAATTCTGACAAGGTTAAAATTTCTTTTTTATTTAAACAGAATGCAGAACATAAGTGCCCTCAATCTCTTGTACTACAATTTTCAAAATTCTTAGTGATGCAAAATAAAACAGAATAGTCTAGATTAAATCAAACGTTTACCACAATTAACTACTACTAGAAGCTGGCTCACTAACTCTATCGGAGAGTTGAATTAAATTGCCAGCAGCAATAGTATGTAAAGCGGAATAATTACAACAAACTATCATTGCATTCTGGTAAGGAATACAGAAAGGAAAAGTAATAGTAAAGACTGAAATTATAAATAACTGGCTAATTAAGATAAGGTTTCCTAGACAGATCTGTGAAATGTCATACATAGCACTTAAGTAGAAAAAAAGCGTTCTGAAGCATTTTTTCTTCCTGATCAAGATTATATTTTTTCGAAAATTTTCACAGATTTGTGGAAAGCTGTGAAAACTATGGCTCCAAGTTAGCTTTAAAAAAAGTCTGAATTATCTTCCAGGGTCCTCTGCTTTCAGATTATTTAAATTTTGGATACTTGTAGGTTTTTTATGTTTTAATTTACCCAACTGTATTATTACTATGTATGTATTATTTTGTCTTTATTTTTATTTATATATTTTCCTCAACTGCCACCAGGATGCAAATTAGTTATTGAATGCATATCAGCACAGAAAGCTTGAGTTTGAGAGTTAGTGAGCACATGCTACCTGTATTTAACACTTTGACTTAAACATTAGTTCCGAATTTCCCACAAGCTACGGAACTTAAGCTCAGATATATTTTTAAATTCTGAATTTTGAAGCTGGTTCACAAAATTAAAACCAGTTTCAATTTGGGGAGAAGCTCTTTTGCTGTTTTTGTTGATTTCCAGAGAGCCTACGACAAAATGTGGAGAAGATTTCTAAACAAACTTCACTTTTGGCAGAAAAATGTACAACTGGTACAAAAATTTTTTATCCCATTGATGGCGAAGGCCAGACAGAACGAGCAGGAATCAAATTATAAAAGAAGTAAATTAGGTATACCTCAAGGAGCAGTTAGCAGCTGCACCCTCTTTAACATTTATATAAATGATTTGATAACCAAGTTAAAAACATTAAAGGTATTAATGTCTGTATGTTTGCAGACGATGTTGTTATTTGGACAGAAGCAGAAAATTCTAGAAAATACGAAGACCAAAGGGAAAAACTTTAAATTATAATAAATAAAGCACTTGAAGTCCTGAAGACCTGGTCCAAAGAGAACAATATGATTATAAATAAAAAACAAAACATTTTACCAATTCTTCTCTCTGAGACAAGTGAATACAGACTTTGAGTTAAAAATAGACAATGGTACTTTTCAAAAAAGCACTCATATCAAGGTGTAAAACTGGACAACAAACTAAGCTATTTTCAAATATGGAAGTGAGGTGTTAATCCCTAAGAGAAAATTGACTCTTTGGAAAGAGCTCAAAGCAAAGCTCTTCGAATTATCACAGGAGCGGTTACAGCTCCTGTGATAATTCGAAATGTGTGATAATTCGAGATGTGAATAATTGTGATGTGAATTCGAGATGTGAATAATTGTGATGTGAATTCGAGATAAATGAATGATAATTCGAGATGTGAAATTCGATGTAAAACTACCCCGATTACAGCTATGCAAAGCTATACTTCCAACCCACCAAGTGCTACTGAAATCAAGAAACAAGCAGTTGGTACATATGTTAAAATGAAAGCATCGCATAGAGCGCAATGGATGAATTTTAGAGGTGAATGAAACCAGTTAATATGAAGTACTATAAAGACCCAATTGTCTCCCTTAGAGGATTGTCATAAATAACTAAAAGAAATAGATGAAAACAAACCAATGAATTGTAACAAGTTCATGGTTAATCCCCTTGAATATAATGATATCAAATACCAGCTAGATATATACGACTTGGGAAAGAAAAACATTCCTGATGCAGTATTAAAATCAAATACATTATGTACATGATATGAGCAATACTCTGAACCTGAATGGACTAGAGTATACACTGATGATTCTAAAATACAAGACAACACTGGGGCTGGTGTATACAATGAACCTTTTTCCCAATGTACTCGTGTGGAACACTTCATGTCGAATTTTGATGCAGAGATCCTTGCAATCTCACTGGCTCTGGAAAACCTAAGATAAAGATTGTTTCTCTAAAGCAGTTATTCTAGTCGATTCAAAAGCAGCCATCCAGGCTGTAGTTATAAATGATGACACCAATATCCAGATTATCTCAGATATAAGATAAACCTTAAACTTTCTTTATAAACACACACACACACACACACACACACACACAAAAAAAAAAAAAAAAAAAAAAAAAAAAAAAAAAAAAAAAAAATCGTTTTTCAATGGATCCATTCACATGTAAGTATTGGTGGTAACAAACAGGCAGACTCACCAGCCAAGAGAGAAACACTTGCACCACAAGACAGCAAACCACTTCCTAGTCACTTAAAAAACGTATTTTTGAGAAATTAATGGATACTCTTAAATCTGATCAGGCAGTAAAATCAATCGGCAAACCGTGGGCTAACATTCAAGATACATAGAAAAAGTTTTGTCAAAAACCTCGTAAAAAGGCTGTGGCAAACTTCAGACTGCAAACAGGTCACAATTGCATGGCACATCATCTTAGTAAAATTGGCATCCTTCCATCTAGTATATGTCAAATTTGTAATTCGGGCATCATGAATGCAGAGTATCTTCTTATATGCCCAGAACTAGATTAAGAGTCTCAGAAATGTGGTGAGATAAGTAAACTAATATTGGAATGCCAGAGCTTTCATAAACTCCTTCTAGAGACTACATCTCTTATGTTCCTATCCTTATTGTTTAAATTTTTAAGTTTTTACTTTTGCTCCCGTGTTCATTTATTCTGATTCTTACTTTATAAATGTTTTTTTTTTTTTTCTTTTTTATTATTGTTCTTGTGTGATACCTGAGCTGTTTTATATGCTTGGATTGCAAAGCCATATAAAACAACAACATATCAGCCTCAATATTTTACTAGACATATTTTTTTTAATTTATAATTTTAAGAAATTTGAAAGTACAATAAACTGTTACTCATGACCAAGGAATACAGTGCAGAAATAAGCTTGAGAACTAGTTAATATGAAATACTAAGTCCTTTTATAATTTCCTTTTTAATACTAAATCCTTTTATGTATGATATTTAATACTAAATCCTTTTATGTGTGATTAAATTTGCTACCATGTACATAACATATTAAAAAAAATGACCATGCAACTGGCCAGATTACCAAGACTAACTCTAACGGAATTACCAGTATTGAGCATCTTATTCAGTTAGCCACCAGTGGATCATTTAAAAGATTTTACTCTATAAAAATAACATTAAAAGAGTCAAGTTTATATGTTGCACGGGGTGAAATATTAGAACTGCTGGAATTTATAACAAACATGCAATGATCAATTTACTACACTATACACTTCAAGCATAAGCTACATTATATGCTATCAGCAGGTATGACTACACTTAGCAGTGTTAATATTATGTGCATATGGGATTTAAAGGATAATATTTATGGTGAGAATGCACTTAAATAGCACTGAAAATACATTTTACCATCATAAAATATTTTGACACATTCTTATTAGCATATATAAAAATGTTTATATTAGGATATGGAATTATTTATTTAAAATTACATTTAATAAGGAAAATGTTTCTGGATAATTTTATTTATAAATTACACCAGGAATGTATAACAATAACATATTTTTTATAATTATATAATGATTTTCAAAATAAAGCGTAAACTGGATCTAATATTTAGTATCTAAGGTATATATTCATATGAAAATATATAGAATTTAACATAAAACATAAGAAAAATATATAGAATTTAACATAAAACATTATTGAACAATAAATTAACTATTAAAATGCAGTTAAAGATAATGCAGTCATTGCTTGTTGTTCAAGGATGTTTCGAATGAATTTAAGTTAACAATATAAATACAGATTTCTGTTATTTACATAATATTTATAGAGGGCATGGCAAAGGTTTTCCTTCAAGTCCAGCAAGAATATTTTTAGCTGTTAAAACTGCCATTGTTGTTCTAGTTTCTACAGTAGCACTTCCAATATGAGGCAGCAAAACTGAGGAAAGAAAATTAATATAAACTATTTTTATATTTATGTTTCAAAAAATAATTATGGAATGGAAATTAGACAATATATGTTTTAAAATTATTTTCTAAATGCAAAAATAGCAGTTAAATGAAGTAAATTTCAGAACTGACTTATAATTTGTTTAAAGTGAATGTTAAGTAACATTTGAAGAAAAACTCAATGAACATATTCACAAGAAATTAAATTTTAAATACTTCAGCTATTGCAATGGCTGGAAAAATAAAGTAAATACAGAACACTGACATGTTGAAATGATAGTGATGCGAATTAATATATTTCATTGTTTACACGTTCATTTAAATACTGTACCTGAATTACAATTGAATATAATTTCTTTCGATTTAATTGCATAACAGCAATTTCAAAGAGTTTTCGAATTTAACTTGGACTGTCTATTAATGGAAAAAAATTTTATTTTCACAAATGCATATAATAATGAATTTAGTATTTACTTGTTCCATAGTTTACACCATTATTCTATTTTCTGAAACCAAACCTTGCAATAACTTCACCATCTGAATTTGCAGATAGTTGCATGCAATACAACTCTCATTTCCCCTTCAGTGAACAGAACAATATACAGATGGAGGACAAAATAATACGAACACCTGAGAAATAATGGAAAATCTTTATTAGTAGGGGGTTGGACCACCCTTTTACTGAAGTACAGATTGAATGTGACGTGGGATAGATGCATAAAGGTCATGAACAATTTTTAAAGGTATTTTAAGACATTCCTCCTGCAGAGCGATCTCTAATTCCGAAAGTCTGGATGGAGGTAGAAATCGGGAACAAAGTTTGGACTCCAATTATGCCCATAAATGTTCAATAATATTCAAGTCCGGGGACTGAGGGGGGCGAAGCGAGATGTTCAATTGCATCGTTGTGCTCTTCGAACCATTCTTGAATACACCTAGCAGTGTGGATAGGGGTGTTGTTGTCTTGAAAAAGCGGTCGCTTCCCAGGAAATACAGTCTGGACATGATCCCCTTGAAAGCTTAGATCAGCTTTCTATTCAACCAAGTTGGATGTGATCCTCCCATGCAGAATAACAAGTGGCCCAAGACCGTGCTAAGATATCGCACCCCAGACTATAATGGCGCCACCCCCTTGCTTCATAGACAGCAAGAGGTAGTCAGGATGAAACGCTTCTTTGGGTCTTCTCCAGACATAAACGCATCCGGTCGTCTGAAATAGGGTGAATGACGATTCATCTGACCATATTACCTGCTGCCACTGCTGTGGGGATCAGCCTTTGTGATCTCTGCACTATTGGCATCGCTTGAAAGCATTAGTTGCTGTCACCAAGGGTTTACAAATTGCCACTCTGTCATTAATGTTTGCAGCATGAAGTTCCCTTTTGACAGGTTTTGTTGAAACAGGGTCCTGGAGATGACTGTTCATTTTGGATGTTATCTGGGATAACGATTGCTTGAGCTTTCAGGCTACTATGCGCTTCAAAACCCGTCTATCCCTAACAACCAGCTTTGACTTTCGGCCGCTGTTGTGCTCTGAAGATGTCGTCTTACCCTCTTTCAGGTATGCTGGCATAACGGCTGATACTGTACTCCTTGCACACCCCACAAGGTTTGCTGTTTCCGTAACTGATGCTCTACTTGAATGCGCTCCAACTATCATTCCTCAACGGAACTCTGACAGGTCTGACATTTCAACTTCTCACAGACAGTTCGATCGAAGCATGCAATGCAGGTGACTGCTGTTGAGAGTCTGATACCTTTCTCTACATACTCAACTAGGTGGCAGATTTCTGTTGCAGGTGGCACGAATGTACTGCAGGTGTGAAATACGTCATACTTTTTCACAGGTGTTCGCATGATTTTGTCCTCCATCTGTATTTTCACCATTTCATCTGTAACAATATTTTTTTTTATAGTCACTAGTTTAAACTAGTCACCATGAGAGTAGCAAGCAAGAAACACATTTATTTTTTTCAGTTTAAATTGTGTTTAAATGTCTGCAAAAGTCTATGTTAATAAAATTTTGTTCTAAACTACAAGAATGAGATAAAAGAATTCACTCAGAGGAATTTCTTAAATAGCTTAAATACCTGAATCTTCAAACAGAATATAATTTGGACCAAAATTAAGTATTTCGTGATTATTTTAAACCAGAAGAACAGTTTTAAAAGCCAGATATAACATTACAAATCATATTACCTTCACATTATTATAACAACATTGAAATCTGTATAACTTAGAATGATCAACATATGTTTATAATTTCAGAGATAAAATATTTCAAAAAGAAATAATAGATACTTTTTTTAAATTTATTTTTAACAAAAATGCAAATAAAAAGACAAACATACAGAAACTTAAATTTACATACCACAGTTATTTAATTTTGTAAGTTTATGATCTGTGGGAAGTGGTTCAGGATCCATAACATCTAAGCCAGCTGCCTTTATTATGCCAGTGGTTAAAGCTTCATACAAATCTTCCTGATTAACTAGTGCACCACTAAATAAGGAAAAAAGAGAAAACTAAATGTGGGAGGAAGGAAAAAAAAAAAAAAAAAAAAACATCTACATATACTTTACTCCGCCCCTCGGGGGTCGAAGTAGAGAATTCTGTGAAGCTACTGGCTAGGATCTGTATCTAGGCAATCTCGGCCATGGTGGTATACAATTTATGAACTTGGTAGTTCTGAAGGCCCTGGGGAAAGGTCACTCATTGGCCGCCCTCGAGGTCTGGCATGTCCTGAGCAGCATGGCTCTAGTAGGGGGTGAAGCTTTGCTGGGTAATGACCCACCATGACAGGCTCGACCGAGTGACTGGCAGGTAGCAATTGACAACCAGTGCTGCCTGGTGAATTCCAGGTGGCGCGGCAGCTCCTCTGCAGAACCAGAGTGGAGGTTGATCCTGTGTGCCTGGTCCCGAGGGGAAGTTGGATCTTACAGATCACGGAGTCACGTGGAGCAGAGAAGCCATGATTTATCTTATCTTACATATACTTCAGTATTTTGTAACAGTGACTAAAATATTCAACTACAAATTATTAAAATTTCATAATTATTGAAACTGCAATGAATGATGTCATTACGACAGAATTAATTAGATGTTAGAAACCTCTTTTAAAACAGAATACCTTGCAAGAATTCTGAAATATTTAATAAATAATGGTATGCTGCTAAATGTCTGCAGTAAGAATCAAAGGTACTTCTAGAAATATGTTTTGACATTTTTTGAAATTAATACCTTCATGTTACTGTTTTTCATTCAGGGTCAAAAGACTTAAAAACTTTAAAGCAGTTTTAATTTTTTTTAATTAACAAATTTATAGCAATTTATTTTATTCAGTTTATCAAAAGCTAAAAACTAAACTCAGTGGTGCAACAGCCCTAGTGGACCACGGCCTGCAGTGCCCGAAATCCGCTTTCTTGAACCTTAGGCCCCAGAGTGCATCAGCATATGCCCTGAGCAAGGGTGTCCGGCGAAAACATCGCGGAGAAAGCAACGCAAGGTGAAAAACATCGTGATACAAAACATCATGGGAGAACAGGAAGCAAGGAGAAAACATTGCAGTTCTAAAGCATCGTAGAACAAAATATTGTGGTTAAAAATAAAGCGGTTAAAAAACTTCAGTTTAAAAACACCATTGTCGAAAATATCTTGGTAAAAAATAAAGTTCCTACATATCATCGCATGATGATAACATTGCACACATGCGTTTTCAGGTTTTAAAATTTGTGAATGCATGTTCATATTTATGATTTTGGAGCGCAAGAAGGAAAGAGCACAATTGGTGCTCCTTACGTCTGTATTTTCATATTTTTGAATGAACTAAAAATAAGAAAGAAACTTCAGCATTTAAAAATTGAAAATGAGTAGAAAATTAATGCAACTTATAGAATTTAATAAAATTTTAAATTTACATAGTAAATTAACAAAGGTTATTAGTAAATTTACTTTTTTTATAAAGTTTTACAGATAATATTTTTGAGAAATACAGTCTAAAATGCTTAGAATTTCACATTTGTCCATCTGATATTGTTTTAGTGAAAATTATTCAGTGTTTTCTTTCCATTTATTCTTAAAGTATCGTTAACATTTTCATGTATAATGAGCAATCAGTTTTTTGGATGTCAATTTGTTAGTTATGATGAAAGTCAGTTACATAATATGTCAGCATGGGATTTCAAAAACGCATGTGTGTGATGTTATTGTCATGCGATGATTTGTAGGTACTTTATTTTTTATCACGAAGTTTTCGATGACGATTTTTTTAAACTGCAAAGTTTTTTAGCCGCTTTATTTTCGACCACAATATTTTAGAACTGCAATGTTTTCTCTTTGCGATGTTTCCTATCGCGACGTTTTCGCTTTGCTTTGTTTTCTCCGTGACATTTTTGTCACGTTTTCGGTTGTAACACTGGGCAAGAGGGCAGCTTGTCGCAGGACCACTGGTATTTAATCCCCAAGTAAACTTGGTACTCATTTTATTGACCAACTCAAGGGATGAAAGGCTGATCCCAGGACAAACTATCAGTGTTCAACAACTTTAACACTCAGCCACTGGTAGGCCCATTTTATATTTTAAATTTCATTGTGCAAAAATAAGAATACTGATAGAATTTATTAAAATGCAAAAATAATTTAAAATGGAATTATTTCAAGACAATATATCTGCTTTCTCTTCTTCTAGAATACTTTTCACGGACAGATTTTTTTTTTTAGTTAATTTTCTGGCGATTTAAGATATAACAATTGTCCATTAAATTCAATTTGGCTCAATGATACTTAAAATTAATAATATTATAAAATGTACACTGAAAATAATTAAAAAAATTCTTTTAAATACATTCACATACTCAAAATGATTTACAGGATTTTCAGTTAACAGGTAACATTTGGTACATCAGTAACATCTGGTACTAAATGTAAAAGTTGACACAAAATCTAACTTAAGTTAATGGCAATCCTAATATATACAGCCTCATGAAAAAATTGGCTATTTTATTAAATCACACATAAATCCAATGGGCAAAAAAACAAATACATAAATTCAAAAATAAGAATGCGCCTAATTATTCCAACTGACAATGATTACAATTAGTGACTGCAATACTGATACACTGGTATACGATATTTCGTTCTATTTTCGAAATTTACTGAAGCTGGTACTTGTGAAGGTAAAATTCTGGCTAAAATACTTTTTCAGTATTAGCTATAAATAATAATTGTTTGCTGTCTCACTTCCATTTCAATCTTTCTTCGTCTGTGTAATGTCAAGGTTAAGTATTAGGCATGTATAAACCTAACCTCACATCACATGACTCAATTCTGCTACCAATCTTTCAACAGAATGCCCAGACTTCAATTTCCTCGCCAGCACTTCACAGTAACCTTGTAGTTATTGCTGCACAATGATCTTTAAGCTTAGTGCTTTTCCTGAATAATGCTATGCTAAAAGTGACTCCTGCATTTGCTAGGGATAGGACAATACTACCCAAGAGCCCTTTAGAACTGCTTAGTTCAACAACGATCATGTTGAAATTGCGCATAGTGTTTTAAATGTTTACACATTTAGATATTTTTTAAATTGGTGAGTTCCTTTTCCCAGAAACAATACACATTTTATATTATACTTTATTGTTCAAAATATTTATATTTGTAACATATGTGTTTTGAGTTTTATTTATTTATAATGAATAATAATGGGCTAGCAAGATGCAAAACATATTCAAAGACTCTTAAAATTTTTGAATGAAGTGGACTATATACAAATTTAAAAACACAACATTAATTTATTGAAAAGAAAACAATGAGAGATAAATTCTAAATCACCTAAAAATAATTTTGCTAAACCAAAGACATCACAAATTACGGATTTAAAAAAAAAAAAAAAAGACTATTTCAATGAAGTATTTAGAATGATAGTATTAGATGGTTTGCAGTTCAGAAAGTTTTCTAGTTCAGTTGAGTTGAGAAAGTCATTAATTGTAAGGGTTTCCAGTATATACTATAATATATTAATATTATAGGAGTGCACTAATAAAAGCATTTTCAGTTCTTCAGAAAAAGAATTAATTGAATTAAAATTAAATTATGCAAAATTCAGTCTCACATTCGATAAATGGATAAGCATATGAAATAGATGTTACTTAAATATAAATACTCATTCGGAATATAGACTCACACATCTCAGGAAATATGTCAGCAACAAAATGTGTAGAAGTTGTTAACTACAGATTGGAGGAATGTAGATTATCTCTGAAAGAAGATATTGCCCGAATAACTACTGATGGAGGAACAGTGATGAAAAAAGCTGGGAAGCTGCTTGATGCAAATAAGCAATAATTATGCTATGCTCAAGGAATTCAACTTGGAGTTATCAGTGTGCTATATAAGCCAAATCAAGAGCAGATGACACAAAATAGAAATTTAGACTTCTGATTCTGATTTCGAAGACAGTGATTTGGTTTATTATTTGTGATATAGATAGTGATTTGGTTTGATATTGATTACAGCAAAGCACTCGAAGTCTATCTGCTTGAGGGAGGGAGTGATGTCTTTGTGGAGGAACTTCTAATGGAAACTGGCTGATATACATGTTACACACGGAGAAACCATGAAAATTCCCATGTAGCCAGTCTGTTCACCAGGATTCAAACTTCAGACTGAACTAACAGTGTTCAGCAACTTGAATGTTCGGCCACTAGTTATCCCTTCAAAGTGAGGGAAAATGAAGGAAATAATAATATCATTGTTGAAAATGCCTTATTTGGATATTAACATAACTAGGACTGTTTCATATAATTAAGAAAATTCGAAAAGTTTGTAATACATTTAAGCATTTCCTACTAAAAATGCTGTTTTACAAAAATATATACTTACTGAAATGAAAAAAAGAACTTATGCTAATATTAGATTCTAAAGCATGCTGTTACAATTAACTCTTAATGCTGAAATTACTTTTGAGACTAAAAAATCTAATTCAGAAATTAATTTTTCTAATAACGAATTTGATTGATAGTGTGATAGTGAATTAATACCTAAAACTCTTTCAGCTCGCCTTCCAATAAAGCTGGCTGTTAAGGCATTATGTCGAAAGAATTTCAACTTATTGACAGCCAATGCAGCAATAAATTTCATGTTGTAATCGCTTAAGGATCAGAATATGCCACTATCTGAGGAATTACATAACTTCAAAATTAAATTCACATAGAGGAAAGGCATGGTGAACTAGAAAATATTTTAAGGTATTTACATACTTATAATGACTCAATCAAATTAAATTAAGTTCACCATAAATTTCCACAAAAACATTTATGAAAAGCAAACAAACCTATCCAGATGCACTAGCTAAGTTGATATTGATATTGAAAAATAATTGATTATGTTGGAAAACAGTTGAAAAAAATTGCTTTAAACATTAATACAAAGACTAGATCTATCTAAAATCATCAGATGAAACACCGAGTTGTTAGAAGATGAAGGGCTTCAATGCAAATATTTAGAGGAAGTAAAACACTCATTATTAGCAACAACCAACATGGACACAGAAAGAGCATTTTCAACTGCCCATAATTTGTGCACAAAAATACATTTCAGGCTTAATGACAATTCAACACATATTATGTTCTTTAGATCACATTTAAAAATATGCTGTTAAAAAATTATATTTTTTTACTAATAGATATTATATAATAGATTACACAAGATTTTTTAGGTGACATTTATTCTTCTTTATAATAATACTATATGCTTTGCTCCTTTATTGTATAGTAATGCTGTAATGGTTTGCTTTTTATATTTTTTTTAATGTTATAAATTATTATTTTATTGCTCTTATTAGTAATTAATATTTATTTATAACATTTGCTTCTTTTTTTATATTTGTACATAACAAATTGTTTATATTTTTATAGTTTATGCATTTTTTTACATAAAACTAATAAATATGGCAAAGGAAAAACTGTGTTTTTGTATCTTTTTTGAAAAATTTCTTCAAACAACATTTAAAAAAATACCAAATACAAGTAATGAATTTTTTATCTGGTATTGCAATCACTAATTACAATGCTTCACTTCTAGCTGCAGTCAGCAGAATTTTGTCATCAGAAGCTAATAACATCAGAAATTAGCAAATCCATGAAAAGGATTGTGCAAACTTTCAAATCAGCATTCACTTTAAACTTTTAATTTCACAAGATGATTTTTTAAAACTCTGGCATTTCACTGTTCCAGCTAAACAGAATTTTATCTTGTGGTTTTCGAAAAAGTCTTTCAGTACGGCGATAGCTTTTTCTTAAAAGAACAGAATCATTAGCTTTCATCAAATGGAAATGCCAAAAGAAAAGAAAGGAAAGAAAAGAAAAGAAAATCTGTATTTCTGTAAAAAAAGCAATAAAAAATGTCAGCTGGATTGATGCTCATATTTTCTGTTTTTATTACTGATGTCACTACATATTCTTATGAAATAAATAAAACACTACATTTGGCACCTTGGTACATAATCGTGAGTAACGTCATTAACCAAAAAGTACTTAAATAGGTTTCCATTCAGCTTTCATTTAACTGTGAAATTTTTCTACATTCTTATTTTTTCTATACTTTCTTAAATTCATGATAATTCATTCATTCATTCATTAAAAATATGCAATATTCCAAAATACAGATACCACTTGCAGAATATTCTTTTTATTCATGGTAGCTTTTCTAAAAAAATTGTCTAAAAGGTTGGAATCCCTCCCTCCCCCCAGAATTCACCAACTGCAATCTGACAAAAGAGGAGAATAACTTGTACATTTAATACTGAAGTTATATTCTTGTTCACAACTTATGATCCACTTTCACAAAACTTTTTTTTTCATTTCATATAGAACAATATGCAATATTCATTGTTGCACACTACCAGTTCATGGAGGTCTTCTTATGTAACTAAGCCAACACTTTCCTAATTTCATTCATTCAAAAAAAAAAAAAAAAAGAAAAAGAAAAAAAAAAGAAAGAAAAAAGAAAAGAAAAGAAAAATACTAAAGTGAAATTCGAAGATTAAAAAATCTTTCGGACTATAAACTACTAAGAGAGGCTTGTGATCACAAAATCATCAAAAATCAAATGTCCCCAAAAGTAGTCATGCAATACCTTTCCATCTATTATTGATATTCTTAAATTTTAGATTGATTTAATCAAAAAATGAGGGAGTACACGCAGTTTTTCTTTTCCTTTGCTAATGAGCCTTAATGATGTGAAACAATCACCAAGCAACGTGAACTAATTACAAGCTCCCATATGAATCGACGTCTCAAGAGTAAAGAGAACACAGTTCCAATTAATATGTTCTTCCACTAAGTATCTGAAGAAGATAAGAGGATGGCTGAAATGTATACAGCAGATAATTCTAGGAGCTTTATTTATTAAAATGTTTTCTGTTTAATTTGCTAACATTTCTGTCAGCAGGGTATGGTGGTAAAACTTCTAAATGCTTTTACGGATTGTTATAATATATGGTTCTAATCTTAATATGCTTTATTAAATATATTATTATACAAAATATGCTTTCATACTGCTTGTTTAAAATAACCACAGAAACAAGAATGAAAAATAATGATTTTAAACATAAATAAATTACCGGCTTGTATTGATAAAAATAGCAGTCCTTTTCATCTTTTTAAAAGCTTCAATATCTAATAAACCTCTTGTCTTTGGTGTGAGAGCACAGCATGCAATGACAAAATCTGATTGCTTCAATAGTTCATCCACAGGAACAAATTTAGCATTCAGCTTTTCCATGGCTGAAAAGAGATTTAAGAATTTTTACACTGATATCTGAATTTATATAAAGCTTACATGATAGTATGTTAATAAGTTATGTTTACAGTTTAATTTAAAAATTTAAGAGCCACAAAATAGCTGCTCTAATGTTTCTACTGTATTTACTTAAATAAAAGAAACTAGTAGCAAAATTGAAAAGTAGTCTAGATTATTGGAAGTGCTAAGGCAACAAGAATCAGTATAATATTCATAAATTTACAGGATTAGTTTGAAAGATTTTCTTCTTCAGTTGCAAAAATTCTAAATTTAAATAAATAAATTTTAAAAAAAATTCTGCAAAATGCCTAAAATGAAGGCATTTCACATTCATAAAAAATCTTTCAGTTGTACTTAAAAACTCCAATTTCAATTCGTCTTTACCCTCAGCATTCAAGGAAATTATTTCACAATTATTTTCTTTTTTCTTCAATAGATGCCATCAGTAGTTTTACTTCCTTTACCTCATTGTTATCACTTGAGCACATTTGCACTTTTGCAGTTGAAGGAGATTATACATTTAAACCTTCGAAACTAATCTTGCAAATTTATGAATATTATGCTGTTTTTGCCATCTTAGCATCATTAATAATCATTATTTTAACACAAAATTATGTAGCTATATGTACTCGTACAATACATTTAATTCAATATTTTTTATTCATCATATGTACATGTAAAATACTATTAGGTATTCAGGAATTTACATGTTTCATGTATTTCTGCATGAAGTTTTACAATATTTATTACTTGTAAATAATTTAATTTGTATTTAATTATGTTACCTCAAAGTATTTAGTCTTTCATACTTCCTTATAAAATTGTCAATAATATAAGAAATTTAATAAACTAAAGTACATTTGTATAAAGAAAAATTTTAAATGTACATATTTTATTGCTATAATATAATACAGCAGAACCCTACAAACCTGATGTAATTAGTATGGATCAAGAAGATGGCAAATTACTAAAAATGATGAGTTTTATGGATCTGAGGTATGTATCATAGTGTAAAAAATTATAATAAATATATTTAATTGACCTACAATATTTTGCTACAAATTCATTTTTTAAACACTTTTAACCTCTAAAAAGAAAAAGAAAAATAAAAAAATAAAATAAAATACTGAGCTACAAAAGAAAGACATACATACATAATTACATCTTTCATGGTAAAATAACCGGACTCTTTTGAGGAGGGGAAAAAAATGGTTAAAACCTAATTTCCTTTCATGTTCAATCTTTCATGCTGCTTAATTATGTAACCAGCAGAGGAATAATATCCATAGCTTAAATACATTGTTCCTCAAAATAATGCAGAGTTTCTTAATTACCTTCATTGCTTCACTATGCGGCATCATTTTGCATTTACGTTTTCATCAATATTTATTTCATCATACTCTGGAGCTTGAACTTTTTTTTTAATTAATATAATTTTATGACCTTCTTCAATGGCTCGACAGCCCTAGGTGGGACGTGGCCTTCTCCAGAAGTCTTCTCCAGGCATCTCTGCTTTTGAGAACTATTTTCCAGTTTTTAACCTTTAAAATATTAAGATCTTTTCTGACACAATCAGTCCATCTTAGCTGGGGTATGCCCTGGGGTCTATTTCCTATAGGCTTTGACAGAAAGATTTTTCTTGCAGCAACGATCTTCATTCATTCTAGCCAGATAGCCAGCCCATTGAAGTCTCTGTAATTTGACGAATTTTACATTATCAAGTTGTTTGTAAATTTTATAGAGTTCTAAATTAGATCTTCTCCATGATCCAATCACTTCGACCCCAACAAGAATGCGACATAAGATCTTTCGCTTAAAAATTCCCAGATCTTCCTCATCACGTAAAGTCAATGCCCAAGTCTCTGATGCATAAGTCAAGACAGATCTTATCTTTTGTGAAGAAGCAATTTAGTTCTCAATTTAAGAAAGCTGAATTTCAAATAACTCTTCAGAGCACAAAAACATCTATTTGTAGCAAAGATTCTTTTATATATTCTTGGCACTAATGCATATTTATTATTTATCTCCCTTACCAAATAAGTAAAACTGTTAACTTTTTCAAATTTATAATTGCCAATTATAAACTAAGTTGTAAGTCAGACTTTAAGCATGGTAAATATTTAGTTTTATTTTTGTTTCCAAATAAATTAATTCTTTTAGCACTTTGTTTCAATGCCATAAATGGCTGTTTGAGAGCCAGTGCGGTTCAGGCAATAATGCCAATGTCATTAGCATATGCCCGCATTTAGAAAAAAAAAAAAAAAAAAAAAAAAATGAAGTGTGTAAAAATATTTCTCCTAATATTCATCTTTGAGTCTCTAATAACTTTTTCGAGTGCTATATTAAACAGGAGGCATGCTAATGCATCCCCATGTCACACTCCATTTTTTACCTCAAGCTGTTCTGTGTAATCACCCTGTATGCATACTTGAATTACGGTTTCTTTGAGAGTCAAGGCTACAAGTGGAACAAGTTTTCCTGGAATCTTCAATTCATGCATGGCTTTTGTGAGAAGTTCTCTGTTAGTAAAATCGTATACCGTTCTAAAATCGATTACAAACATTTGCGAGTCTCAATTCCAATCATAGATCTGCTTTAAGTTGAAAATTTGCTCAGTTGTGGATCTTCCTTTCCTAAATCTACACTCATAGCCGCCTATCAAGTTATCAATAAACGGCAAAAGTCTGTCGAAAAGAATAGTAGACAGAATTTTATAGGATGTGCAAAGACGACTGATTCCTCTATAATTACTACAGTCTAGCATGTCACCTTTTCTGTGCATCATGCAAATGGTACTACCGTATATGCCCGCATATAAGTCGAGATATTTTGGACAAAAAAAAAAGACTTCAAAGTGGGGGGTCAACTTATACATGGAGCCATAAAAAATTAAAAGAATCGGAAGTTCAAAAATTTCTTTATATAAAGCAGTTGTTTTCTTCCTGCACTCAAATTGGATGACTTATCAAATAAGTCACTTACTTGAAGTACTTTCATGACTTAAATTGTGTGACGAACTAGTCACAGAGTCTCTCTGAAATGATTATAAAATCATTTAAAAAATGTTGTATTAGCAACGAACTAGACGGCATGGAAGATGATGCTGTTTTTGAAAGTGAAAATGACGAGGAAGGCTCTAGTAGTGATTGTAACAATACAGAGTTCAAGACTGAAAATATGTATGACGACGAGCCAATGACGACAGAAGAGTTCTATGAAATGTTTGGCGAATCTGACTATGAATCGGACGTTGAAGGATTTTGATTTTGTTTATTTACCAAGGTATTTTTCATCGTATATTTACTTTTTGTTCTCAGACGATTTTGAATAAATGTAGTACTTAAAAAAATTTTTTCGAAGTTTCTCAATTGATTTTGGAAGTGGGGGGTCGACTTATATGCGGGTTTCTTATTTTCTACGAATTTTTTATGTCAAAGTGGGGGGGGGGGGGGTTGACTTATACGCGAGTATATACGGTATATTTACATTCTGTTGGGGGTGTCTCACTCTCCCAAATATGTTGAATTAATTCCTTTCTAAGCTGTACACAGTAGGTCCCACAGCCTTTAAAAATTCTAATAGTATATTGTCAACTCGGGTATATTTATTGTTTTTTAGTTTTTTAGAGCATTATTCAGTTCTATCAACGAAGATGGATCATATTATATATATATATATATATAAATTTCTGATTGCTGATTCACTAACAATTTCATGATCTTTCCTAGATTATTTTCAACTTGCCTCATGCACCAAACAACTTTATCATCAGTAGTTTCCTTGCTGCTTAAAATCCCCTTTATTAAGTCCATTAGCCTAGAGCTTCCTAAATTTTCTAGGTTCTATTAGGATACATTTCTTAATGGTTTCAAAAATCCAAGTGAAGTGTGATTAGGCAGGGGGGTCAATTATCTAAACCAAAGAAAAAAAACAATACCATCCTTTCCAAGAACTGAATCATCTTCAAACCAAACAACTCAAACAAGATATTATTCTTAATAAATTAACTAGAGTATCATATTTTTTTATGTTTAGATGTTGAATTTTACATACTGTTGACTTATCAAAAGTCAAATCTGAGAGGTTAGATTGCACTATGAAGAATAAATATGTATGATGGGGTAAAAAAATTAGAATTTAATTAGAAAATATTCTTACAGAACGTATTTTCTAATTGCATTCCATTCTACAGATTTCCTCACATAAAAATAAAGTTATGTTGTTATAATCAAAAAGAAAAAAATATAAAATAAATTACGTATTTTATCAAAGTATACTATTACCACTTACCTTCAATTTTTGCTCTGTTTCCTGTATACAGAATATTTTTTACTTTAAATGCTTTCAATCGTTCAGCTACTCCAAATCCTAAAATTCAAAATTTAATTTACAAGCAAGTCTAGTAGTGTGTGAGCACATATTATACATATATATATATATATATATATATATATATATATAATTTATTTAATAGAGAAATATTAATTATATTATCTCCTAATATAAATTTAGTAGAATGTATCTAAGTATCTAAATGAAGTAATCCAGATGTATGAAAATTTAATCCCAAAAATATTTTTTAAGGAACTTGAACTTAAATCATGAAAAATAAAAATTCAAACTTTTAATATGAAAATTAATAACCAAGTAATTATCGTCATTGATCGGAAATTGTTGACTTTTTAACAAACCAACCCCATTCAATTAACAATAATTAATAAAAGCGAAGGTGTTTCACCTTTTACTCAAGTAATAATGATGATGCCAAAGTGGCAATTTTAGTTAAGGCCAAAATTGTAGTTGAGTTTTAATTCAAATAGTGAGATTAAAAAGATGAATTAAAATGAAGTAGTTCTGTTAAGTTCATGTTTTTTTAGAAATCTTGAGACATATTAGCCAAATTAAGTACAGTACTATAAAGAATTTATTTTGAATGTAGCATTTCTGTTAATTTAATGGATTTTTTAGAAATCTTGAGTTAATAAATCTAAATTAAGTAGTATGCACTTCAGCATAGTGTTCCCTGACACCCCCACCCCCATGCGCGTCAATTCAAAACCATTTTCACAAATACAATAAACAGTAGTGAATCCCTGCCATATCCACAAAACAAAACTCAAAGTAATCGTAATAAACATAACAAACACAATAAAGAATGCAATCTTTGCAAAATTAATGAAATATGAGTTGAAAAACTGAAATTTATATAAAAAAGGTACAAGGAAATGTACAAAGTTAAATGTACATAACATACAATAAGGCCAGAATATGAATTAATTAACTTATGTTCTTTCTAGCGGGATGACTGTGATGTGTGTGCGTCTGTTTTCTTACTCAGAATAAGAGTGGTATGCTATGCTATCGGATATGCAGGGAGCGGCAGTAGGGATCCTTTGAATTATAACCGTTGGTGAACCTTTGAGAAGCTATGTTTGGTATGTGGAAGGGAAGTGGCTGCAGAGCTATTTTGCGAGTGTAAAGGCGTCTGTTAAAATTTTGATCTGACTAGTGAATGGAAATGAATTAATTTCTGGCTAATTGTCGTGGCATAACGAGAAAGAAAAAAAGAAAGAGTACTTTTCATTACTAACCAGCTATTTAGCAGACTAAAAGTATGAAATAGACTCATTTTTTTTTTTTAGTAACAGCAAAAGGGATAAGAAAAAACCCAGAAAACTATCTTATCCCATAAACATTTTTTAGATTATAACATATCAATTGTAAGCTTATCCCTTAAACATTTTTTAGATTATAACATATCAATTGTAAGCTTATCCCTTAAACATTAAACATTATTTCTTAACAAAACTACTTCATCTCTTTAAGCTCACTATTTGAATTAAAACTCAACTACAATTTTGGCCTTAGCTAAAATTGTCAGTTTGGCATCATCATTATTACCTGAGTAACAGTGGCATAGATAGGGTGGGGCAAGGGGGGACATCTGTCCCCGGGCGCAGCATTCAGAGGGTGCCAAATTGATGTTACGAAATTTTAGAATGAAATGCTTTTCGTTCTTGGCACAGAGAAAGGGGTGCAAAATCTTCAGTTGTCCCCGGGCGCTGAAAACCCTAGCTACGCCTCTGCCGAGTAAAAGACGAAACACTTTCGCATTTATTAATTATTGTTAATTGAATGGGTGTTGGTTTGTCCCCCTTGAAAAATCAACCAATTTTAGAATCAATGATGATAATTATTTGATCAATGATGATAATTATTATATTAAGTATTCATATTAAAAGTTTGAATTTCTATTTTCAAGATTTAAATTCAAGTTTCTTTTGAAATATTTTGGGGATTGAATTTTCATACACCTGGGTTACTTCATTTAGATACATTCTACTGAATTTATATTAGGAGATAATATAATCAATATTTCTTCAGTAAATAAATTATTACTTCACAGCTATTGTGCAAGTATTAGGAAATTTATTTTGATTTCAATGCATTTCAGTTCATTAATTAAATACTATATATATATACACAAATACACACACACATATCTTTATCTTATCTATCTATATATACACACATACATGGATGATGTTAGGATTCAAATGTTCACATTTAGTGCATAATTTCTTACAATGGACAATTTCATGTGTAAAATAATTATCATCTGCTATATCTCTATCAGTTCAGTATTTATATATTAGCTGATACCTGCCAATATGTTATCAATTATGCTGCACTTGATTCTGATTCTTGCCAGCGTTCAGCAGCCCTATAAACTTACCTTAAACCCTTAACCTAATCTGGAGCAGCCCTTAAACCTAATCTGAAATCTTTGAGAGAGCCATCACATTTTAATTTACTTTCATTTCTTTTTATTTATTCAGGGTGATTAATGCCTTTTTCATTTAGAAATGCATTTATTTCATTCAAGCACAAAGCAAAACGTTTCAACAGCTTACCCTTGGAAAGCCATCGCACATTATTGTGAAGAAGGAGGTCGAAATACTGAGTCTCCATTCATTTAAGAATTCTTTAAACTCACGATGGTAGAGTGCTTTTGACAAGATACTGTTAACAATCTTGATTACCAAATTCATGACCTCAACTATTTCGGTCGGAAACGTTTGGGCACAAAGAGCTTCTTGGTGTATTATGCAGTGAAACGCAAGAATTTCGTGGTTTATTGTGCTCTAAAGAATCGTTGTTGCCCCTTTATTTTTTCCTCTCATACTTCTGGCTCCATCAGTTGCTACTGAAACGATTTTATTTTAATCGATCTTATTGTCTTCAAGGCAATTTTGCACGGCATTCGCTATATCTTAACCTCTAGCTTATCCCGAGAGGGGTAGCAATCCTAGAAGTTCTTCTTTTGGAACTTGGGAAAACATACATTTGACAAAAAGGGCAATTTGTGCCGTGCCTTTTATGTCTCAAGACTCATCTATAGCAAGTAATAAGGCAGAAGAAAGTTGAATACCTTCCACCTGCAAATATGTTACATTTGAAGACATTTTAGCTATTCTGTCTTGTACTGTTTTAGTGAATAGCGGCAAATCTTTGATTTTTTTCACAATTTCTGGTTTGTTTTTGAAATCCCAAAATAGTTCTTCAGATGCACGTATGAAGCAATGTTTGACATACTCACCATCTGTGAATGGTTTGCCTGCTTTTGCAATTTCTAGTGATATCGGGAAGCTTGCCAGATTAACATTACTTGTAGATTGCGTCCAGTTACTTAACATGGAACTTGATTGTTGTTTTCGTTTTTGGAGCTCGTCAACAGCTTTTTTTCATTCTTCACCAGCTGTATATTTACTAACAAATCGAGTATGTTTTTTAGTGAAGTGTTTCTCTAAATTTGATTTCTTATTGTGTGTGAGTTTTTTGTGGCAAATGAGACAAGTCGGAAGACCATCCGAGTTGCATATGAAAGCAAACGATTCCGTCCAATCCCGATTGAATTCTCGATGCTCTTCTTCACGTCTTCTCCTTTTTTTTTTTTTTTTTTTTTTTTTTTTTTTTTTTTTTTAGATGCCATGCTTGCGGTGAAGCTGTTATAAAGATAATGCGCTTCTAACTTTTTTACTTGAAACAACAAACTATACGTCACAGCCAAAAGCACTGGTGATAACGGCAAAATGTCTTGCATCGAAAGCGAATTAAAACCTATATAGAAAAATTCGACGATGGCGTCATTCGAGAGCTTCTGACGGATTGACAACAGTGACGATGCATGTCACAGGGGAGGGGTGCGGTGAAGGCTAACTACACTAGCGAGAGCAGTTTGGGTAAGAGCCAAGATGGGTCAGTTTAACTGAAGGGGTTTGGGTGAAAAGCTTGGGTATTTTTCCGTTTCAGAGGTCGAAGAGGTGTGGGTGAAAAGCGTGGATATTTTTTTCCCTCTCGGAGGTCGGAGGTTGTTCAGGGCTTTTTCTTACAATACTGCACTCACCCCTACATCACTGATAGATATGTACACTTCCCCAAACCGGATGTTTACATAAATCTGAAATACATGGTCAGATAGTAAAAGTGGCTGAGAGACAGAATTGGAGCCTAATAATCATTAATCGATTCAAAATGATTAAAATTTTTTTTGATAAAATAAATAATATTTGCGTATAAAACTAAAGAGCCACAGGTTGCCGACCCCTGGCTTAGGATATTTTTCTATGATGAATCACACTCACATATCCATTCAGTATTCAATGACATTTCATATTACAGAGTTATATTTTCATTCTTTCAGAAAAAATACGAAATATTTTTCAAGTTTCAAATTACTGCAATTTATTCAAAAATATAAATTTGCATTATCAACACATAAATGAACCACTTGAATTAAAAAATATTTGAATGGTGCTGCCATCTAGTAGCAGCAATTCCTACATGTGAGGTGGGACATATTTGTATCACCTTTTAATTTCAACCATTCTTAATTAATATATATGAATTCAAATAATAACTTTTATTACACACTTTTTTTAACTTTTACATAAAAATATTCATTCTAGCACCAAAAGTTGTTGTTCAGACGATTTAAACTGCATTAGAAATTAAGAAACAAAAAAAACTGCTTCAAAATTAGACATGCAAAGAATTTTTATTTTACATTATTTTCATGAATGAATACTGGTTATTCATTTAGAGATCTAAAAGGCATAATTGTATGTATTTTAAATGGAATTTTGCAACTTTCATCTGGTAGACAAAAACTGATAAAAATCTCAAAATAATTTTAAAATGAGCATATTTTAAGAATTTCCAACACACAGTCTCCTGCACTGGAGATAAATTCACCCCCTAGTCCCGATAGAATCAGTTTTTACCACTTTTCAGATATTGAATGACCAAGTTTTCTTCTTGCTTATTCAGAAAAAAATTATAAGTTAATGAAAAAATATGAAATAAAGTGGTAAAAATATTAATTCTTGTGGTCACAAATCATTCTGCGAAAATTCATTTCAAATTGTTTCAATCAGAAAACATGTATCTATGAAATTATCATCACATTACGATTTGCAAGTGCTTTTTTTAGCCACGATATTTTGTAGGATGATTTGTAGGAAACTACAAAGTTCTGTAACATTTTTGTTTTCGACTACAATGTTTTATAACTGTGATGTTTGTGTTGTTTCCTCTGCAACGTTTTCATCTGTGACGTTTCATATCAACATTTTCATCTGTTTCACCTGTAATCAATTTTTATAGACCTCTTTTCATTTCAGTGATCTCTCAAGAGGTCTTTAGATCAATGAAACTTAAATGACCCTATTTTGCAAAGGCACCACAGTTACAAATAATTATGATTCAAACCGAAGTTCTTCAACATGATAACTTGATTTTTCACAAATCATCATATAGATCATAGTAATCTATATTAAATGACAGGTATGCTTATAAATGAATGATTATTATGATACCAGTTGATCATTGGTCTATGAGTATATAATCATGTGTACTTATTAATGATTATTCTGCAAATAATTATAAATAAAAATTAAATAGGCAAAATATATTATTTAGTTTGAAAACTGCTTTATTTCATTTAAATAATTTTGGGTACCTAGACAAAGTGCACCAGCATTACAGTATAAATTACATTTTTATAACCAAAGCCATTTTCAGAAAATTATTAAATGCATTTTTTTATATTTGATATTATGTACATTATTAAAAAATATAACATGCAAAACATTAAGGCATATTACCAATTCGTCCAAGACCTATAATTCCTACAGTACTTCCAGCAAGTGATGTACCACACATCCATAATGGACCCCAGGCACAATTTGCCCATCCTCCACTAAAATGTATAAAGCATAGCATAAATATAATGATATACTACTATAAATAGTAATTCATTCAAACATATCAACTCCAGGTATAATAAATTATAGAAAATGATGTTTCAGAATTCACAATTATAGAAAAACAAACCTACATACTTGAAAATTATTTACAGCATGGCTTTTCTATTTTAACAGCAAAATAAATTTTGATTTGAGGAAGAGTGTTAGGGGAAGAGATATCAAGCTTCTTTTGCTTTCCTTGCAACTGATATTAATATTCCTACTGATTAAATTTTATACTGTAGCGCTTCCAAGATACTGATCATAAAAGATATTTCGATGTAAAAAGGTTTGGTTAGGTTGAGTATAGGAAAGCACACAAAGGCAACCTGATTAAAGGGAAGGATGCTTTGCGAAGGATTTCCTAAGGGAAAATGGCCTATATTCCTGATATTTGATATTAAGTGAATGGATAAAGAAGGTTGTCAAAAAATTAAGAATATAATTTTAATAATACCTTTTGTACAGCTAAAAGAGATTCTAATCATTATAATAAATAGGATCAGCTTCTGTTCTCATATGATACATGGCTTGTTATTGCAAAATCTGCACACCAAAATTAATATTAAAAATCTAATGTGGCCAGCACATGGCTTCTTGCTGATTCTATGTTTTAAATACCAACAAAAGTAAGTAAAGACAGCTCACTGCTATTTGAAACTTGGAATTGACTGATTGTTTGTAAATCTAATATGTTTAAAAACTTTGTGGCTCAATGTTAGTTAAAACACTATTCATTTTTATTATTCTGTAATCCCACACAGTAGGCAATGATAACTATACATACAAGTATATGCATCTGGTCTCATGCTTTCATTTGAAAACATCATATTGATTATAGTATTTCCTCTACCCATACAGTGTTTGGGATTTACAAATCAATGTCTTGACAATCACAAAAATTTTTAAGCATTTCTTTAGAATTCCTAATAGAGTATTAAGTATTGCCATATACTTTTTTTTTTAGTATTTTTTCAGTTTATGATGCCAATGTTCAGTTTTCTTAATAAGACGGCAACTTTTTTTATTTTTCCTTTAGCTTAATTTATAAACATAACTTTCTTTTTACTTACATTACATAAAATTTAAAAACAAAATTTCATAATCTCTAAAACAAGCATACTTTTATAATTTTAAATACAGTGTTAAGTGTAGTCATAAATTTTTTTCCCAAGATTCACTATACTCTTCATATTTGCTGTTTTATTTCTGTAAAAATAATATATGGTAACAATATTTGGAGGCAACATCCTTTTATTTAAAAAGCGATTTGGCACAGGAGTGAAATGAACACGAATTGAGGATTAAAACTATTACATTATATCATTTCATAACCAAAGCTTATCTTCATAATAAAGTTTTCTCTTTGCATTTGGCAAAATTCCAAAAATACATTTAATGTTTGTAAATGAAGTAGTATGTTGTTCTCAATGGCCTACAGGTTCTAAATGCCAAATCTGCAAAGTTTTCGATAATCCCATATATTTATATAAAGGGTTAATTAGATATAGTATTACATTATTTCATGAAAATCTGTTCACAGCTTCAAGTAAGGTATCAATTTGGTTTATCAATTTTAGCCAAAATCTAATAAGTTGTTTCCATCAATATAAATACTAAAACTAGAAAGTTTTGAATTATACTTTTTATACAGTTTTTCATTAAAAACTGTTATGGGGTTCAAGCAAAATACTACTTCCAGTTGGCCAGGCCATTAAAAATTGTTATGGGCTTCATATAAAGTACCAGTTCTGGTTGTCTAACTATACTCCAAATCTAATCAACTCTTTTTATGAATGCAGAAAGCTTTAAGTAAAGAAAGTGGGCAGTTTTGGAAGTTTCATACAAGGGCAGCTGTGGATGAAAAACTCCTCTTGCACACCATACAGACGGTAGGGTACGAACTGCACCAAATTTGATCAAAAATCCCCGTTCCCCTCTTTTCTAATCCATGAACTGCACAATGTTTTCTGTCCCCCATTTCTTTCCAAGAAGATTGGGTGCTACAAAAAGTCGTTTCGCCATTAATGGGATACTCTATTGACACTGCAGGCCTTTATTTTCGTTTATCAATATTTTAAAAATTGTGCATGCAAAACAAATATTAATTTAAAGTCTGGCATGTGCTAAAAAATAAATTTCTTTTACATTCATTTTAAAGTTTTATGATACTTAAAGGAATGATGAGCCAGATCTTTTTTATTCTCTGTAAGAATTAAAAACTTTCCAATTTGTAGATTTTAGTCACACGTATCAAATATCAGATTTGTAGCTCACCTTAAATAAGATTCTTGTCTAGATAAATATTAACAAATCTTCTTAGACAGCAGAATGGTTTTATCTAAAATTTACCATTTTAGATAAACAGTTCTAATTTAATTACAAAAATTATCCTTATTAAATCTAAAAATAGGACTTCTTAAGTCGTTCTAAATTCACACTAATATTATTGCAATATATTCCCGTATTAAGCTTTCCATTTTTAATTATTGAAGTTATTTTAAGGTTATTTAACTTTGTTACAAATTCCATATGTTAATACTAGAAACGTTTAAATATTTATTCTGTTTTCCACCTGATGAACTTTGGCATACATTTAATTTATAATACACATTTAATTAATAAATTAATAATTATGAGCGTCAGCAGAATTTTCATAATTAACAAAAATAAATAAATAAAAAAATAAACTCCTTTATATTCATATCCTTGGATTTTCAGTTCCCTTTTAATCCATTGCTTTTTCAGATATTGTTGCACTGTACTCAAGTTTTCATATATGTAAAATTTATATACTTTGTATTGTATTTATGCCAATTTATATTTAAATGATAATTTTTACAAATTCTTGCATCACAACTCTATTTAACAGAAGATGTTTCTAACACCTAGGCACAGCTTAATCTTCAGCATATAGCTTATTTTCCAACCTAGTTTCATGCTGAATTACTTGTAAAATTAATTACTTGAAATTATTTGTTAACAAAGATGGTCGCTAAATCACGCTAATAATATTTCTAACTGTTGTAATTTATAATGCAACGAGTTCATGTGATTTATAATGTAATTCATTTATAATTTTTTCAGCAGTATTGAAATTAATAGCAGATACTCATAATGATATACATTTAGATTACAATGATTTAGATTGCCATTGTCTTCTTCACTCATGCTTTTATGCTATATTCCTAATATTTCATAATGGCATACAGGTAAGTTTAACTCATTCATCAAACATGTAAATCTCTAATTCAGCCCACTTTTGTTCTTACGTGTGCTGCATCTTCTATTTCCTTTAATATATTGTTCAGCCTAATTTCAAAAGGTCTTGATCAAGCGGAAAAAGTCACTAAACATTGGTAGTTCGACCCGAGTTTCTAGTCCCAGTGATCCCCCAGCTCGGCTCTTTCTTTTTGTGTACTTATTTACTGTATAAAAATGTAGCTTAAAAATTTCAGTTCATGAAGTAAAAATACTCTTTAAATTTATTCTTTAAAAATATTGCAAAAATTTTTACCTTAGCATATCTTTTTACAAATAACTCTAATAAAAAAAATAAGGAAAGAAATTAATTCAGTTTCGGTGATTGATACCGCGGTGCAAATTATATGTAACATTTTTCCAAAAGCATAGAGTTTATATGGATATCAATAAATTAAGGATTATTTCTCCATCTAATTTTCTTAACATGTTTATTCCAGAATTTTCTTTTCACACTGTAGCGCTTAACTTTATGAGTTTTCTATAATCATTCAATGTCTCTAGCCATGGCAACTTTGCATACCTTCTGACAAGTAGTTATATTCTTAACCACTGTATTTTAATTCCTGTTGGCTATCAGTGCTTTATTCCCTTGTTTCACAAGTGCAACTTTTATTTTATATGCAAATCTACGTAAAATAGCATTAAAACTTCACTTATGCGGAGCTCCTGATCGATTGCTTGTTTTAGATTGAATGAAATTAAGCTTAATGTTACTGTTAATTAGGTTGTTATTAATTTAATTATATGTTTCTAACTAATTATATGTTCAGATATTTCCAAGTATATTACACAAACTTTTGCATCCTAATTTTTAGTTTTTGGTTAAAAAAATAAGCTTTTATTTATTGAGAGGCCTGATTGATTATATTAATTTGCAGTACTGTTTATCTAATTCTTTTCTTCTGGATAAATTTCAGAAAAACTTCTTAGCATAATAATTTGAATTTATTTACAATTTATACGTCAGTGATCCAAGCGCATAGTAATGTTGTTATACAGTCAAAAGTCGTTAATCCGGACTCGTCGGGACTTCGGTGATTCCGGTTATCGATTTTTCCGGATTATAAATCATCAGTTTAAATCTCATAAGATGGCATGCAGAAATTCTAAAATTAAAAATATGAAAAAGTAATTTATGAAATAAAGAACAATTATGGTATCAAAATTTACAAAGGGTATCAAAATTTACAAAAAAAAAAAAAAAGCTTAATATTTATTTGTTTACTTTATTAAACATTTCTTTCAATGCAAGTTGTTTAAGTTGCTTCGTTTTATGTGAAAATACTTTCTCTTTAATTCGATAAACAGACATAATTTTTTGTTCAGTTACAAAGTTCCGCTGTTCAAGTCCCGTAATTGCTGTGCCGAGAATACCGACTAACTTGTCAATCGAAATTTTTTCGTTTTCATTAACCTCTCTGTCACCTTCTTCACGTCTTTATCCATTTTTTGCAGCAATTAAACTTTTTGTTTGATGGACCTTGAAACATACTTTCGCTTTGTAGATCCTTTGGGAGCTCCAGCATCGGAAATTCTATTCTACATAATCGAAAGTTCAATTTTACTTTTATAAAATTGCTCTTACAGTCTGCAAAAAATAATAAGACGGATCCAATTTGAAGATTAAGGAACAACGCAATCATCAACATTAACTGAAATAGATAATTAGATAATTTTAGCTTATACCGTC